CCATGGTCATCTGCTGACAGCACCACCTCGCGATCAAGGTCAAAGTGTGCCGACACAGTAGGCTGTAACAGCAAGCGTTTCCCCCCGCTCGAGCGCGCATCGTTCAGCATCACTCCAACGCCAGCGCTGGTCCTGGCGCAACAGCGGTGCAGCGCCGCCGCTCGCGCGGCATCACAGCGTTATCCATTATATGTCTTATCAGTCTGCACGAGATTGTTAAAGATAGCGCTGGCACACACTACTCAGCCGACAGGCGACCAGTGCGTCTACAGACGCGTGTGTGGCCCGTCTGCCGAAGGTGAGCCCGTCCGCTTGTGGCCCGAGGTTGGGATGAGGGCTGAACCACGCGCTTTAGGAGCGTGGTAAGTCCCTGTCTTGCGACCACACCCTGTGATGTGCGGTTCGTCTGCCGAAGGTGAGCCCGTCCGCTTGCGGCCCGAGGTTGGGATGAGGGCTGAACCACGCGCTTTAGGAGTGTGGCAAGTCCCTGTCTTACGACCACACCCTTTGATGTGCAGCTTACGTGCGAGGCCAACTTCAGGGGCGAACGACTGGGAAGGCAGGGGCTCGTGACGCACGCGGGGGCAGGGCGACGACGACCTGAATCGTCCCTCGCTCTGACAGACTGTCGAGTTCAGTGACCCTGGGGTAGAACGTGTGGTTTGAAATCAGAAAACGACTGCGGGACTGATCGCAAAGGCGGTGATGCGATGACTTCAGGGGTGTCAATTTTGGGAAATGTTTGGGAGGCCGAGACGATCTCACACTCCTTCATTTTGTTTTCAACGGATTTAGCCAACTTTATTTCCAAGAGAGGCAATTTATGTTTCCAATTTCGTATCGTTAAAATAGGTCATTTAATTTATGCAGCATAACATCCACGCAGGCGGGTCCAGAAGGGAGGGGAGCACTGGAGACACGTGCCCATTCCATTCGGCATGTGAAGGGGTCCCTCTGTAGGCCGCCTTAGGGCGCCGAAGGCCCTTTGATATAATGGCCATGGGCGGCGGATTGAAGGGAACAGGGATGAGGCTGGTTATGAAAAGCTTCGGTTATTCGCATATTCAAAAGCTGTCCAATTCAATCTCTCAAACCTTTTCGCATCTTATGGCCCGACTTGTGTAAAGTTTATTGCACCGCTTGTCCGCTTGTCAGTTACGATTTATATCTAGCGGTGAGCAAACACGACTCCCATAAACGAGAGGCGCCCTAAGCTGCTCGAAGCGCTGCTCTATACGACCGAAAGGTGCGTTTCGTTTCTAAGGGATGATAAACACCTGGGTACATTTACGGATCCAGTCACGTGGTTTGCGACCAAGCTGATAATTTTCGCGAACAGGACATCTTCCGGCGTGCGGAAATTATTTGTCTGAACTAGTGTCATACCACGTTTTTGAATTAACTATGTCAAAAACAGCAATGATAGCCCGGGGACGGCGCCACAGATTGTGAGCGGGGGTAGAATTTTCCAGGGAGCCTTCTGGACAAAATAGGGCCCGCTTCGCGGGGGGAGGGGGCTCCCGCGCAGTGTCGTATTCACCGGGGAGAGACATGTGCTATCTAGTGTTGTCTAGTGATATATAGCGTGCTATCTACTAGCATGTGCTCTCTTATCAAACTATGACATTTTTTAAAATAAATTTATTCCGAATGGTTTGCATGGGTGACTGGGTTTATAGTACCTGCTAAGCATAGCTTGTTGCGTGCACCGTGAACCCACCACCCAAGTCGCACCGCCCAGTTCAACGGATAATTTCGCCTCCGCCCTTGGGCCAGACAGGAATGCGGAGGGTTTACGTGCCGCACAATGCTGCGACACGGCCGCCCCGGGTCTGGGCCGACATTTGTTAGCCAGTTGCCAGCTGACCTTTTTCATTTCAGTCGGGCCAAACGACGCGCCTGCTCTGAGATTCGTACCCAGTGCCGCTGGATTACCAGTCCAGCATCCTTCCCCTAGACCACAGTGGCGGCATGCATGAACCATATCCCAGTCAATAAACCTCGACAGCTGAAACATCCGGAATAGGGGCTTTCAAGTAAGCCAGCAAGGAATCTCACTTTATAAAAACCGGGCCTCCTGTTCCCCAAAAGGGACTCTTCAGTCATACGGGGCCTAGTAATAGAGAAGAAAATGCTCCTGATTAACGAGAAACTTCTAAATCTACCCAATGGTCCTCGCTTTCCCGTCTCAGGGCGTCGTAATCCGAAACCGCGGCCATCTGATGTATGAGAGGGTTCTTATTCCAGAAATAAGGCTTCTCGAATGTAAAAAATGTTTTCTAGCACAGAACAGGAGCCTCCAAGCTTGCAGCAGGGCCTCCCGAGCCAGAAATGGGCATCCTTAACACAACGTTGGGTTTCTTGATCTTGAGCATTAACTGCCTTATTCATAAAGGTTACCTCATGATACAGAAAACTAGGTAGACTAGCTAAATGTAGCAAAGGATCTTCTGAGCCCGATTGACCACTCTATAGCTCAGTCATGAATTTCCTTACCCTGAATTTGGGTACTACGGGTAGCTACGATGTCTTTAGTTTGGAAAAAGGTGTCTTCCAGGTTGCTTTCGGAAAAGGGCAAAACCATACTCTTGCAAAAGCATACTCTACCCCACCGGCAGCAGGGAGGCCAACTGTCCCTCTGCCCCCTCTGCCCTCCCCCCGCTGTGCAGCCCTGCTGCAACCAAGAACATAATCCTAACAGAACGCAACAATAGTCAATTACGCTCAGCAACTGAAATGGAACAGTGCACATTGACCAATACTTGTATGAAATTGAGGCTATAAAGCAGATTCCTCAACTAGGAACATAAACTTTTCTGTCAAAACAGCGATGAAGAGTTTGTTGTCACTGTGATGCAAAAAGTACTTGCCGTTTAAAGAACCGCCACGTGCATGTTTATTATATCGTTGTTGCGCGCCTGCTATTTGCGTAAATTTCCGTTCAGGGTGTATGCTATTTTGTGAGCCACTCTCATTTCATCTGGGCTAGTTTCACATCAGAAAAACGAAGTGGTAAATGACCATTCTACATAATAACTTTTACTCAAATGCGCGAGATTGTGCATCACTAAATAACATCATATTCCGCCGCACACGCGAAGTGCTTCTTCCTTGCAGTCTGAAATCTTGATATCATCCGAAATCGCTGAACTCCCCACAATGGTAAAGAGAAGAAGCTAAAAGAAATAACAAAAAACATATTGATAACGGGATTCAAGATGAGGCTCAAACTTTCCCCTATATTGTTCCAAAAATTGTAAGGGATGTCAAAAACAATGCCGCTGTTTCAATTATTGGTGTCATGCATTTGCCCGAGTTTAACTATGCGTGACTGCTTTCTAGGTCATAGGTGATACATATCTCTTGACAAAACAGTTAGTGGAAGAGCAGTTTTCGGGTATCGCCTTCCTCCAAACACATTGGCTGCAATGTGTAAAATATCGCAAAAAACGCATGTAGCTGCGCAGACACGCCAATTGTCAGGCGGAAGCCCAACTTCGGTAGAGCGCTGAAGTCATACTGACTTCATTCATGATGTGGTGAAAAGATGGTGGAAGTTTCGCCGTCAATAATAATTGTTCGCACATAGCCCATGGCATAGGACCATTTGGCTGTTGGCTTGATGGTATCAGCCTTGTTGTAAGGCGGCCGACAGTCGTGTAGTGACATGGCACGGTTAGATTCCTTTCGTGCTCTTTGAACAAGGGACCGAGGCAAAATGGATCCGTTGAATCAGGACAAAGTCAGATTAAAAATCCATCCCAGAAAAGTTTTTGTTTTCCGCATTGCCTCTTATTTTGTTGCCATTGCCTCTGAGCTGGACCTATCATCTGAACTAACGATGCCGCTCCCCAAAAAGCTGCTCGATTTATTTTTTTGATACAGCACAGCAATGCGGATCTCAACTTCAAGTATAGCAATGCAATGTTCGTAGGCCTACATGGACAGAGGGCCAAATGTCGCTTAGCATAAGAGTCTCTACGAGGCCGGTGAATCAGTACGGTCAATATCATAGACAACACAAAACAAAAAGTGAAATATAGAACAGTTTGCCCCAATATCTAAAATAACCCCTCATTGGAGCAAATAATCTAGAGGTTGCGGCTTCGGGTTTTCCGCTGCGCCTTCCGTGGTGATGCCACTTCGAGGAACGTTTAAATGATATTGTCTTCGTGTTATGGATAGCTTTTTCCTACGGTTTTATAATATTCCGGCCAAAAGTATTGGGGGCCCCAAACAGATATTGGGGGCCGACTGAACATTGGGTGGACAGGGCCCTCACAAAAGAATGCAACTCGACACCCGTGGTTTAAGCCATAAGAGTGGGGTTTGCTGGTGTGCTCGGAAGAAGTTTTGTCCATATGATATATTTTTCCGAGTGCCGAGTGCCTTGCCTGCTGTCTTGCTTTTTGTGTGTGTTGTGTTTCTATACATGTATGTGCAAAGATATGTACCAGTCTGGTGGTGTGAAATAAACTGCATAATTATTATTGGTATCATCATTTTCAAGGTGAACGCGTTTGTAATATGATAACATCGAGGAACTCTCAAGGCAGAAGACAATTCCGTGTGTCCTTTTGAGTCGCATATTGCGTGCGTCTCGCTGCATCCTGCACAGGGGCAGGAAAAGCACCGATGTGTTTGACATCCGTGGGACGAGCAAGACTTGCCCTGTAAACTGTCCCGTGCGCATACGCAGCCCCGTTCTTTGGCTCTTCAGCGTGGAGGCACCAGCGGCAGATCGTACGTTGTCATGGTAACTGCGCCGGCGCCGACGATCAAACTATCGATTCACTGGGATCACCGTGGTTGTGTCGCACGCGCCCGGGGGCGTTGTCGGCGTAAGGCGGCGCCGGCAGCAGGGCTGGCGGCGTGATGCCATGCACTGGGGTGGGGGTTTGGTAGTTAGCGGTTTTAGTTCATGACCCGGTCAGGGGAAGACGAATCCAATGAGTCGTGCTGAGCCTCGTGAGCCGCTGAAGAAAAACTGGCAGCGAGGTCAACATATTGGCTCAAAGCCCTCAAGGTAAGCAGAGTTACCGAGGCTCGATATGTTGGTGCTGTGATTTTTGTGCATTATCTCCCTCAATAAGCAGTCCTGTAGCGCTAAGTGTTTATCTGATTGCTTGCAGCTTTGCTAGAAATCGTGTTCGGGGTGTGCTCAGCGTTCAATAATGCGCTTGTTTAGTAGTTCATCGAGGTCACACAACCAGCCACTGGGCCAAGCCGATGCGTGGATGCCATGCCAAAATCAATTGCCAGGCAGGAAAAGGACGTGCAGCATATGCACTGCAGCATCTACATTGCACGCCGCCCTCGCAGTATTACCTGGCGGAATCACGCGCTATTTACATTGATTATATGAAGGCGAGCCCTGACAAATGTGCCGGTAAGATGGAAAAAGACGGCAACATATCCGTCATCCTGAAAAATCAGCTCTCATATGACATTTCTCTGATAGGTGTATATACAACACGAGAACGGGAGGCCAGGCGATTTCAGCCGGTCGGCCAACAGCGCATGTGTTTTCGTGGCATGGTGTCAAAGGGGGCCTGGGAGCACGCGGTGACTAGCTTGGTTAGGTGGAATGCAGTACAAAAGCCAAGCTCGCCGCTTTTTGTGCGCCATGAACGATAAGAGGACGTCAGTTAGGTCGTTTGCAATGTGATTCCCAACACTGAATTGTGGTAGCAGCGCCGGAAGCACAAGCAAGGCGCATTTACACACAATTTTCTCGTTTCACGTTACACTCTGTTTGCACGCAATTCTTCTGTGACGGGAGCCTGGACAAACCAAACATTATCAGCCGACGTTCAAAGAAGTTGTTGAATCCAATGTCGCATCGCAAACGCAACACGATACACCCACGGCACGGGACTATCGGCCGTCGCAGACAGCGCGACGCGAGCCCAAACACAGCTCAGCGGAGCATTGTGTGCCCCGCGGCTCCGTAGCTGCGGCGCATGTTGCCGACTCCGGCATCGACCTCGCCGGCCTTTCCTGGCAAAGGTCGTAGAAGGTCGCAGTCGGAGCCGTCCCCGCTCCGCTTGACTGGCCAGTGCCAGATTCCAGACCAGACCCGTTCCAGATTCAAAACGGCGTGCTCGTGCCCTACGGCAGGAATACACGTGAGCTGACGACGGGTCGCAGCACGAAGCGCCCGTTTCGCTGGCCGATCGCAAGGGGCCGTCACCGTCGGTGGGCGCAGTCGCAGTCAAGCCCATGAAGCAGGTCATCGCCATCCCTCATCACCAAAACGCAGCTGCAAACATGTTGTACAAACAAGGGCGCGATGCGTAAAGGTGCCGCCTTTTCATTGCGTCCGTGTTGTGATGCATGCATGCTATAGGCGGCAGAGTGACGCTGCGCCTTCGTCACGCCTTCCAACAACTTGTCTTCCAACTTCACGGCACCAAATGGCTTGAGTATTTCCCTGCATGCGGGATTGCACGAGCGTGTGAAACACCGTGGCGTGTAAGCTACGGAAGGCATCTGCTGCACTATGCTTTCCCATGTTAGCGAGGTGTTCGCCTTGGAGTGCAGTGCCACTCAGGATGGCGTTTGAAAACTATCATACAGGAAGCCATTCGAGCTCTTGGAGCCCGTTCTGAGTATGGATCCGTGAAGAAGTCGTGCGGAGCTTCAACACTGTTCTTCAACATTGTTTCAACACGTCTTTGTAAGCATGACATACCAGAACATAATGCTGTTCTCTAAACTTTTGAGTTGTTTTTTCTGGATGACTGTGACCCCCGCCCCCTCCCTCCCAAACAAAAACAACATGATATTGTGCCTTTCAGACACAAATGGACAAGTGGTGACGATATACACAGGGAGCTAGTCAGCTCGGGCAAGTTATGACCAACATGGAGAAAAACGAAACGCAGAGGGTACGATTTTCAAATTACTCTGGGGCTTCAGGACGATGTGGCAGCCATCCATTGTCTGATTGCCACGTTTTGTACCAGGGACTTGTACAAGGAAGCGCTGACGCTGAAATTGATGGAAAGTAGGAAGATCCACTTGTCACGGATTGTGTACTTTTAGACGAAAAGAGCTGTGTCTGAAGCAGCCTTGCCTTACCTCTCACCTGCGGTTTTTGGACGGCTGCCGCCAGGTGGGGTGGGTACCGGCCGGGGCCGTGTTCACTTGCCGCCGGTACCTGCTGTTCGCCGTGCTGCCCGTGGTGGTGCTCCTCTACTGGGTCAACTCGCAGTACGGCGTCGGCTTTCTGCCCGTTCCGCCCGTGTTACGTCTGGTTCAGCCGCAGCGTGAGTGATGCCGGGGCCACGTCGACAGGAGGGGGTGCCCAGAGGCCTAGTCGGATCAGGTGTGCACCGACCCTAAGCAGCCCTGCTACAAGAAGAGTACGTGTAGACTGAGTGATCGCACCTATTACCGGACTAGATTCTTGTGATAAACTTTGGAAAATCATTGCATAGTTAATTTTGTTATCTAATGGGCGTGTTCTTGCGGTCATTTGGTATCCTTTGTGGCGGGCGATTGCACACGAAATGGAAGTGGAATGCGCGTAAAACAATGAAACATGAAACGTGCCTCAACATGCATTAGGTGACGGGGGACAGTAATCCAAAATATACATTATCCTCACCAGCGTAGAAGTACAAGACGAAGTGTCACAATATGTGCTCGGAACATTTCATGCTGCAAGCCCCTCATCAAAAAAGGTCCTCGCATGGCCGGTTGATTGAAACGATCGAGCGTCACGCGTCACGGAGCCCCCGCGCCGTCTGCCGAAACCCCTCGGCTGTGTGACCACCGGTGTCAGCCCCCCCCCCCCCCCGCCGCCACCAGAGGCGCGCGGCCAGTACCTGGTGGACACGCCCACCTGCCGCATTCCCAACGTGGACCCGTTCGACGCCTCGGTGCGCGAGTTCGCCCGCCCGCCGGAGCCGATCCTGTGCAACCGCGAGCCGCCGCCGCTCACCTACAGCGACATCGACTCGGTGTACCTGCTCAGGGAGCGGCAGCACCTGTACGGCGCCAGGTCAGACGCCGCGATCGATGGCCGGCTGAGGCCTGATGGGAAGTGATGCCGTGTGGTCTGAAATATCCATGCATTCAGTCCCGTATTGCTGAAACGTTAAGTTTATCTTTGTTTTTGATTGAAGGGTCTTAGCTTTTACTGATGTGCTCGGTGTGCTCGATATAGTACTGATGTGCTCGTTAAGCAGACAGTTGTTGAGGTTTAGATGCATTACAAGCTCCTGACAGGGCATATCGGGGTCAGAGGTCTCAGGTCCCCACAGCACCTTCGTCACCGCCCTACCCCCTGCAGCAGGGAAAACCTTTCGATTATTGCACATTAACTGCGTTTCCCATTGATTACCACTTTTCAGCGACGACAGGCAGCGATGGGCATCGTTGCATTGCCGCGATTCACAAAGATGGCATAACGCGCTTGATCAGCACAGGCAATATGAAACTAGCCCACGTGTCCTCTAGCTGCGGCTTGGCAGCAGGACGTGGCGGGATGCAACTGTAGCAAGGGGGAGTGTCACCTGAGAAAATATCGCTGCCCAGCTGGGAAAATAAGCTTTTTCACAAGCAGTGGCGGCGCCACTAATTTGAGATTGGGGGGCAGGATTTTCCAGCGGGCTCCTGGACAAAGTGGGGCCTCGGCACAGGGGGGGCCTTCTGCGCACTGTGGTGTTCAGGGGGAGCGGCACCGGGGGCGTGTGACCCCTCATCAAACTGTTTTCACATACCATATTTAAGTAGACAGATGTTGACAATTAAAAATCCTGAAGTGGGTGTTCTTATTATCCAGCAAAGGACCTCGCCAACCTAAGACAGGATCTCGTTCCAGAAATGGACTCCTCAAAACGTTCCGAATTTACGAAGTGGGCTTCCAGATTTAGCCAATGAGGCCTCGTTGTCCCGAAACAGGACGTCCTGATCCGGAACTGCGGACACCTGATGCATGCAAGGCATTCCGTTCCATGAATGTTCCAGAAATGGGGCCTCCGGCACATAGAGGATACCTCGTAACCCCGAACAGGAACCGTCTTTTTTGTAACGGGTGTCTGCCGAGCCAGCAAAAGGCCCCCCCCCCCCTTAATATGATAATGGCCACGTGATCCAGAAAATTAGCTACCGTATCCATGAAGGTGGTCTCATGATGCATAAAACGGGTCTCCTGATGTAGCGAAGTGTCTTTTGGGCCTAATTTATTAGTCTGTAGCTCAGTCATTGGACCTCCTTGACCTGGATTTTACTACTCTACAAGTAGCTACAATGCCTTTAGTGTGTGAAAAACCCAAATAGGGGCCTCCCAAAGATTGGGGGGGAAGAGCACACTCTTGCCTTCTCTGTCCTCCCCCCCCCCCCTCGCTGCTGCGTTGCCCTTGTTCGCGCATTTACGCTGCAGCTGTCACCTTGGCCCTTTGTTAGCTCATCTGCGCGCGTTCTTGGGCATAATGCGGCCAAAATACCATCACCTGAACGGTATTTTCGTCTCGGGATGTGACCAACTGGCCGGGGGGGGGGGGGGATCGGGCCCAGGTGCCCCTCGCGATCAGCTGCCTATGCCCCCGCTCGCGTGCGCAGAACGGTGGGCTGCGGGAACAATTGAGAGCGATGGTGTACCTACATAAACAGACTCCAGATGTCAGGACTACACAGCTGGTCCAGCGAAGAGAACTCATCGGTTGACATGGCTGATGACAGGAGTTAGTCCCTCGGAATTTTCGGGGTTGATCGACTTACTGGTGACCGTTTATTTTTGATTCCATGAGGTTGATCATATTGTCTCTTCCCCTTAATTTGTGCTATGCAATGTGCTGATTCCGATGATTGCGTATGTTGCAGGCCACCTTTGACTTCAGCATCCTGCTGTACCCGAGACATAGACTGGATCAACGATCTCAACAGTTCTATCCCTCGAAACACGATGGGCAGAGTACGGTAAGCTTACTGTACGGCCAATTTTCTTCTATCATAAACTATTACAATGCTAACTGAATGCTGGATGCAGCCTTTCCCAGAATTACAAAAATGGTCGTTGCTATAGTAAACGGCAACCCTTGGTCTACCTATGGATGCCGTGTCAAAAATGCGTTGGACGCATAATTCACTTTAAGTTACTTAATGGACACGATGCGCGGTATCTCCTTAAGATGCATCCATTTTTGGGACATCTGGCATGTCCTTCATCTCCGAGAGGTGGCCATCACGGAACAGTCGGCTGACGAGCAGCCGCGTCCCGACCGCGACCACGTCTCGTCCGCCAGCGACCGCCGATGCCGCGTCGGCCCTCGCGTGACACTGCCACCTTCCGCAGGAGGTCGCCACGGTGCCGGCCGCTCCTGGGCAGCTACACACCAAGCGCCGACGGCGTGGAGGTGACCTGCGCCGTGAACAAGACGATGGTGTACCGCGACTACTACCACTTCGTGCCGCTGCGGCCGCAGCTGGAGGCGGCGAGTCTGCAGCGACGGCCGCAGGACGTGGCGCCAACGTGCTGATCTTCATGTTCGACTCGCTGTCTCGGCTGCAGTTTCTGCGCTGGTTCCCGCGCTCGCGCCGCTTCCTCAGCGATCGGATGGAGGCGTTCGAACTCGGCGGGCTCAACAAGAATGGCGACAACACCTGGCCGAACCTGGTGCAGATGTTCACCGGCATGGAGCAGGCCGAGATGAAGCGTCAGTGCGCACCGGATCCCAAGAAGGACCCGCTTGACGGCTGTCCGTTCATGTGGAAGGAGTTCAAGCAGGCGGGGTACCGCACGGCCATGGCCGAGGACGCGCCAGGGATGGGCTCGTTTAATTACCTCAAACTGGGGTTCCTGAAGCAGCCGACGGACTACTACACGCGGCCCACCAGCCTGCTGTTGGATGCCAACATTGCCTACAACAAGCAGCTCAACACGAACCTGTGCGAGGGAACGCGATACAGCTACTTCTCCACCTTCAAGTATGCGCTGGATCTCGGCACGCGTCTGGCGGACCGACCGTACTGGGGTTTCGTCTGTCAGAACGTGTTCTCGCACGACTCATTCAACATGCCCTATTTCCTGGACGAGCCGTACTACAAGGTGCTGGAGTCGCTGTTCAGCAGCGGCGCGCTCAATAACACCGTCCTGGTCACCATGGGCGACCACGGCCTGCGCTGGGGCCGCGAGCGGCAGACCTTCATCGGCGGCCTGGAGGAGCGGCTGCCGTTCATGAGCCTGTACTTCCCGCGCTGGCTGCGTCGCCGCTACCCAGCCGCCTTCGACAACCTGCGGGTCAACCAGCACCGCCTGAGTACCTTCCGCGACGTACACCGCACGCTGCTGGACCTGCTGCGGCCGGACGAGACGCTGGGCGGCGTCGATACGCGCGAGGCGGCCGAAAATGCCTCCAGTGTCAGCCTGTTCCGGCGCATCTCGCCATACCGCCGCTGCGACCACGTGCAGGTACCGGACCACTTCTGCACGTGCCTGCGCTCTGAGAAGATCGCGGCAAGCGACGGACGCGCCACACTCGCCGCTAAGGCCGTGGTGCGCGAGCTGAACGTGCTGCTGCGCGCGGCCCCCGCAGTGCGCGCCGCTGAGGCTCCAGCGCGTGCTCACGGCGCGCATTGCACAGCCGCTCAAGGGCGATCCGAAGAAGAGCGCGCCGTTCCTGCGCCAGATGACGACGGTGCAGCTGCAGACGGCACCGGGCGGGGCACGCCTCGAGGCGACTGTGCTCGGCGACGGCCACGAGCTGCACATCAGCGGCAGCGTGTCGCGGCTGGACCGGTACGGCCACCTGGCGTGGTGCGTCAAGGACCACCGCCTCGAGAAGTACTGCCACTGCGGTGGCGCGTCGCGTCACTCGACGGCGCGGCCGGTCCCGCCGACGGCCGGCGCGGCGTCCGACGTAGCGACCGCGGCGCCCGACGCGGCGACCGCGACGGGCCCGGCCGTGTCTGGGGCCACGGTGCCAGGGGGAGCTCGGGCGGGTTCGCCGCCGGGGGCTGGAGCGCTTGGGAGCACGCCGTCAGCGACCAAACCACCAGTGGAAGAGGCGCCTGTGACTAAACCGCCGGCGGGTAAAGCGTCCGGGTCTGAACCGCCAGCGAGTGAAGCGCCAAGCCCCAAATCGCCAGCGAGTGAAGCGCCAAGCCCCAAATCGCCAGCGAGTGAAGCGCCAAGCCCCCAAATCGCCAGCGAGTGAAGCGCCAAGCCCCAAATCGCCAGCGAGTGAAGCGCCAAGGCCCAAATCGCCAGCGAGTGAAGCGCCAAGCCCCAAATCGCCAGCGAGTGAAGCGCCAGGGCCCAAATCGCCAGCGAGTGAGGCACCAACGTCCAAATCGCCAGCTAATAAAGCATCTAGGTTCAAATCGCCAGCGAGTGGAGCGCCAGGGTCCAAATTGCCAGCCAGTGAGGCGCCTGAGTAAACTGCCAGCGAGTGTAGAGCATAGGTCTGAGCCTTCAGCAAATGAAGCGCCTGGGTCTAAACCGCCGGCTGCCAAAACGTCTGTGTCTGAACCACCGGCGATTCTCAGTCACCAGCGACTGAGCCCCAGCGAAGCCAGAACGAGCGCCAGTGACTGAGACCGGTGGTGGCCAGCCTGTCTGAGTGCCTGCCGGCCCAGGGTGGGATGCAGTGGCGGACAGCGGCGCTTTGTCCTCCGCTCGCTGGTAACAGGGTTGCACGTGATATGCCGGCTGTTGTAGGATGGACGGGCGAGTGTTTGGGATGCACTGCGCGGGCGTGGGGATCTGAACAGGGTTGAAGTACGTGGTGAGGGCTCTTGCGTGGTGCTGGAGTGGGGATGATCCTTGATAGCGAGGATGTTTTTGTTCGGGAGAAGGCAGGTTAAGGATTTGGCTTCATGTCCGGCATTGTCGCAGGGGCTGGCCCAGGCCAATGTCAAGTTCCGTTTCTGCCACTGTGTACGGCGCAGGTCTGCTGTCACCCGCCGGTCATCCGCTCCAGCTCACCTGGGTCATCACGGGTGTTCTGCGACCGACTGCAATGGCGCTGGCAAACCTGCGTAGGAAGTTACGCTCAGGCAACTTATTTCGCACAACGATGAGTGATGGCGTGGATTATGCCAACCGCTCCCGAACTGTCCGCCAAGAAGCTGTCCACCACTCAGCAGTTTCCCTCCTGGTAGAGTTTTGTCACGCTGCGCACGCATATCGATGTCTGGTTTCTCACGTGGGGCACGGGGTAAAGGGTACCAGTGTGGTCGCTGCGACGACCCCGCTTTTGCGCACCTTGCTGTAAACGCCAACCCGCGCCATCCACCACTCACCATTATGCGAGGAGCCCGTCGAACCATATCACATGCCCGGTAGTCCGGGAGGTAGTGCCGGCCGTGCAAAGCGTTGCGCTGGTTGTGTGAGGAATCGTGAACTTGGTCAGAAGGTTGCCTGAATAACGGTAATTTACTTGCTAGTCTCCTATGAGACCAAAGATGCAGGTCGAGCTTATGCATTCGCACTTTAAGATGACCTCACTAGGGTTTTTAGTCGCATTTCCACAGCAGGAAGTCTTTTACGTAATAAAATTATGCAAAACCCAGGTAGATGGTGAGGGACCTGAATTGTTGGGTGAATTGTTAATATAGCACCAAACAATGCATAGGATTCAACAGCACCAAACAACATCACCAAGATGAAGGCTTCGAGCGTTGAGGTCTAGTCGGCTGTTCGATGACACCCGCGAGGTATGGGATCTTCTCACGAGCGCTCATCAATAATGATCACGGTTGCTTAGCATTGGCATAACGCCAGCTAAAGCAGCGCGTCGCTGGCGCGTCGTGCACTCGTGTTTTTTCCTGCTATGGGCGGAAATGGTAAATGTGGGTATGTTATAAAGGAAAAAACGGTGACAGAGAACAACCGAAAACAAAAGCTAGAGAGCAACCGCGGAACGCACTCGCCCCTCAGCGCAGAGCAGTCGCGGGGGCCTTGCTCTGCGAAAGCGGTCTGTGGGACCTCCAACAGTAATTTCGGAATGTGAGGTGACCCTTACCATAAATCGCCATAAGCCTGATGTTCGAATCGGTAGTGATCATGGGGTCCAAGCGTGCAGCTGAAAACCAACGGAAACTTCACAGCAATCGCATGCACATTTTGACTGACCAGGCGCAGACGTTGCGCGAGAATGAGCCGGCGAGTAAAGCGCTGGTCACGGCCTGTTGTTGCAGGCCGGTCAATTGCGGGGGCATTTGCGCAACGGCTGGCTTTATCGACCCTCGCCATGCAATTCATTGCCTCGGGCATTCCCTGGACTCGGGCTGCTAGATCGTGTGGCTTAATTCACGGCTGCATGCGTCTGTTGGCAGCTGTATTCCAAGCGTTGATTGCACACGGTCCATAATAGTGATTTACGTCCAGTGTAGTTACGTCGGTGCACCCACGATTCCGGTGCAGCGGGCTGACCGAATCATAAATTTTACAATAAACCGAAAATGGCGCGAGAGCCGAGGGTGGACGTCGCTTCCTTGTCACTAATTCGAAGTTGTGAAGACCTGGAAAGGAGCTGAAGACTATCTGCGCAGCAGAGTTTTCTTTTCCGTGTCAAACTCGTTGGCTAGACTTTGGTAACACTCATTGGCTGGTTCGCCTCAATGCTGTTGTGGTGTATGTTTTCCGATATATGGCTGCGTCGCAGGAGACAGGTCCAACTATTTAGTCGAGCATCCTTCATGCCTCCTTGTGACAACTGAATGAGGTTTAATCGAGAGCAAAATAAAAATTGTCACATCAGGCTGACCTTTCTCCGCGATAGTTTTTAGGCCCATGGGTTCCGAGATGGCTCCCTCAGAACAATCGAACTCTGGGAACGTCCCCGTGGCGTCCGTCGGTCGGCTGGACGATGCGGTCCTGCATGGACCCGCTGCACGCCGGAACAATGGCGAATCGATGAGGCAGCGTTCGGGACCCGTGACAGTCGGCGCCCTCACACGCAATGCCTACGGAGGTGGCACTCAGCATGCGAACGGGCGTGCGGATCGCGGGACACGGTGGCGGCGGGGCGACGGCCGGAATAGCCAGGCTGTGTCGCAGTCCTGTCGGCGGTCGCAGTCGCAGCCCACACGTGCGGACGCGTGCGGATCGCGGGACACGGCGGCGGCGAGGCGATGGCCGGAATAGCCAGGCTGCATCGCAGTCCTGCCAGCGGTCGGAGTGGCAGCGCGCACGTGGGGACGCGCGGATCGCGGAAAACGGCGGCGGTGGAGCGACGGCCGGAATAGCCAGGCTGTGTCGCAGTCCTGCCAGCGGTCGCAGCGGCAGCCCGCACGTGCGCGCGGACCGCGGGACACGGCGGCGGTGGAGCGACGGCCGGAATAGCCCGGCTGTGTCGCAGTCCTGCCAGCGGTCGCAGTGGCAGCCCGCACGTGCGCGCGGATCGCGGGGCACGGCGGCAGCGAAACGACAGCCGGAATATCCAGGCTGTAACGCGGTCCTGTCGGCGGTCGGAGTAGCAGCGCGCGCGTGCAGACGTAATCGGGACACTTCGCCAGCGTGCTTAGAACGAAATTGTACGGAGGGCTCCAGTCGCTCCCAAAATACCGGTCATTTACCGAAATACCGGAGTTTGGGTGGATGAAACTACAGAGACCGGCTGTGGTTCATTCATGTTTCAGCTTAGCTGAGCAGTTCCAAGTTGTCCTGTTCAGCATTTTAACGACAGATAACCGCCAATAAGAAACTTGCTTCCACACGACGACGGAACGACGGTATTCTCCTCAGCACGCTTGCAATCCTTACATCACGCAGAAGTGACGAAACAGGCTGACTTGAGGATGGCTTGAAAGTTCTTGGTCGGCTAAGATCTGGCGACTTTTTATCGTGCGGCCTGCTGTATCCGCTGCTCTTCTGCTTTCCCCGCCCGGGGCTGGTGTATAACAGTTGCCCAAAACATGGAGTAAATTCTTCCGCAGGTGCCGAGCTGATGTCACACTGCGGAACGGTGGGGGTGCCTAGAGGGCCGCAGCGCAGAAGCCGGCGCTGTATGCTCCCTTACCCCCATAGAAATGTAAATCAGCACAGCTCTAGAAGCTTACAACACATGCGGTGTTACGCACTGGGGTATACGTGCTGAGGCAGGCTGCTAGGACAGGACCGCCATGGACTTGCAGCCTACTAAGATGTCAATCCCGGTGTGCTTTTCCCAGTCCCTCGAGATGCCGAGATCTTACAACTTATAATTCCTCGCTGGGAGATGGTCCGACATACAACGGGATCGTTTTTTTTTTCTCGTGGAATCGGTAGCCTGGTTGGTTGGGTTGAAGCGCCTGTACTCGGATTTACTCACCCTTGGCAAGGTGGGCTCGAGTTGTCTTAAAGGGAATGTTCCGCATTTGAGGATATTGAAGCAAGGTCAGACATCATGAAATAACATCACTTATGATAAGTATACTTGTAAGTGAAAAAGACTGCTTAAGATAACGAAATTGCTCTATTTAGTACTGATGCTTCTCAACAGGTCATGGTTTGCGTCCTGGAACTTGTATGACAGCACTCACTTGCAGCTCTTCGATATCCCAAGGAGTTGCCAACGGAGTGCTGGATGCCTGTCGAACCAACTAACGTTAGGTTCCAGTATCTTGGTCCTTCCTCGTGGTATTATTGGCTGTCTGTCCGTGAGCTTAAGGTGTTTACTGACATTCACATACACGATAGTGACCTTATTCTTAAGCTATTCGATTACACGTCTTATTTCCCTGACGACTAGCGTCCATGTCCAACTTCTTATACAATGCAGCGCAAAACGTCATTTGTTGTTAAAGGTATTGTTCACATTTATATCGGGTTTTGAACTGAAATAGCCATCTTGAGGATCTTTCGGTGCTGTTCACAATCCTGCCCTTCTAAAGACCCAGGCCGTCCAGTTTCTGAGCTACGTCCACGCGAAAATGGGGGAAGCTTTATCGGAAAGAGTATTTCAGTCATCTTGACATTCATGACGTCATAGAAGCGTCATTAGATCCTGCAATTCCACAAGCCATGCGGCAATCAAGGCCTATAAAATATAGTTGACGAGGCATCCATAACTGATGTTGGTGAGCGCGATTTCCATATATAACAGCCGTCAACTGGTTCTCGATGAATGTTGTGCAGGGTACAATGACGTAATCAAACCATGACGCATTTAGTAGCATGTTTGCTGCACAGAGAATTGTGCTGTCTGGAGCTGTCTTTTCCACTTACAAAGTATACCAATAGTTATGTTCGCTTGTTTCATCATATCTGACGCTTGCTTCAATCTCTTCAATTGTGAAGCATTCCCTTTAACCTTGATATATCGTTGCCCCATTTGCAGACAATGCTCGATTAGCAAGACTTTTCCTGAGTGGTGTGTTGATCCTGTTGCGACTTTCTGCCAAGAAGTCATATTTTTCACCGTCGTTCCTCACTCGTTTTGTTCACACTCATTCAATATGCATGCATAGTTTGTTATGATTGCACACTTAAGTTTTGATGTTCTGTTCCCATTTCTCCATTATGGGGAAGCGTGGTAAGCGCAAAAAGGATGACACTGATTCAGAATCGAACTCGGCG